TGCCCATCTGAGTTTTGACGACGTTTTGGAGCGTGGGCTGTGTATCAAAAGTTGGGCTGGGAACCTGTGGGCTGATTTTTTCGCCAAACTAGGGGCTAGCTCTCACACGCTGGCCGAAGGTTTCTGTGCGGCGGTTTCAGGTCAATTAAAATATCACAAGTCCACGGTGCGGTTCCTTGCATGGGCTGCTCAACGTCTGCTCGAGTCAGGCACATGGACACAAGTTGACCCTGATCGCCCCCTCCGCCTCCTGAGAGCCCCTGCCCCTCCCAAGGTCACGGTCACTAGCCATGTGTTATTTCGCTGCGAGGCCACCAGCACTTACAAGTGCAGGAGCTGTGGCCGAGTGGCTCGCACTCTAGAGTCGCTTAAGAGCCTGCTCACGAGCAGAGACTATCGTGATTGTTCTCCGTCCTCGATCCAGCGACACGTGTGCGACCAGTGGTTTCGCGATTTTGGGGCGGCTTTTAGGCCCGTGCAGCTGGAAGCAGTGAGGGTTGCTCTGGCTGCCGCTGATGAAGCTCAGCGGGCGTGCATTGATGAAGTCCAAGGTCCCCCGACTCCTGTGGCTGTCCCTGAGCCATCGGACGAGTTTTCTGTGTTTCGGGACCTTGGGCACGACGTCTTCCGTCATCTGCATGTTTATTGTTGTAAGTTGTGCGGGGCTCACGGATCTCTTGGCTCGCTGCGAAACCTCACGCAGCAATGTAAAGGGAGGTCCAAGGTTCCGAGTACTGCCGCCAACCAGAGAATGTCGATTAGACGGCTGGAGCGCGGGTGTCACCCCAGAACGGGCGTGAAGATAGATGGGGCCACCGAGCGCGGCGATGACCGTGCGGAGCTCCGCTGCGCTGATGAATCGAGGCCGCTGGAAGCGGCCGCCAGTGTTCCCGAACCCGTTCCCGATGGAGCGAGTTCAGGGTCTGATTAAACTCGTTTTGTTTTTCTTGGGCCGCCCTTGTAGTCTGTCGCCCGTCGTCTCCCCCTCCCCCGCCGCATACGTGTGCCTCTACCTGGTGCTCTCGGCGCTGGGGAGGATGGCGCGCGACGTGGCCAGGCAGGCGGGGCGGCCCTCCCGCTCGGCCCACGCCCTGGCGTGTGCTGGGTGTTGAGTGTACCGGACCACCAGCTCGAGGCTTGCCTCTTGCTGGTGGCGTGCGGTCCGCGCGCCTTCGCATTCCTCCTTCGCATTCCTCCTTTCCTCCACCATACTATCCTGCTCCTCTTCCTTCCCCCTCCTCCTCCTTCTCCTCCTCCTCCTCCCTTCCTCCTCCCCTTCCTCCTCCTCCTCCTCCTCCTCTCCCTCCTCCTCCTCCTCCTCCTCCTCCTCCTCCTCCTCCTCCTCCCCTCCTTCTCTCCTCCCAGCTCCCCGTCCCTCCTCCTCTCCTCCTCCTCCTCCTCCTCTCCTCCTTCCTTCCCCTTCTCGTCTCCTTCTCCCCCGCTTTCCCCCGTTCCTCCTCCATACTATCCTCCTCCTCGTCCTCCTCATCCCCTCCTCCCCCCTCCTCCTCCTCCTCCTCCTCTCCTCCTCCTCCTCCTCCTCTCCTCCTCCTCCTCCTCTCCTCCTCCTCCTCTTCCTCCTCCTCCTCCCTTCCTCCTCCCCCTCCCCCTCCCCTCCCCTCCTCCTCCTCCTCCTCCTCCTCCTCTCTCCTCCTCCTCCTCCTCCTCCTCCTCCTCCTCCTCCTCCTCCTCCTCCTCCTCCTCCTCCTCCTCCTCCTCCTCCTCCTCCTCCTCCTCCTCTCCTCGTGTAAGACCACTGAGAGGGGGCCACTCCTCGTCGTACATGCCGAGGCCGAGCGGGTCCCCGAAGTCGCCCGGCTGCGCACGCATTCCGGGAGGGAAGGGGAGGATTGATGCTTCGGGCTCAGACACCGTGGGCGTGCCGGACCCTCTCCTGGGCACCAAGGAGCATCCCGTGGAGGCCAACCGGAGGCCTCTGGGAACCTCCTCCTGCTCGTCTTCTCGGGGCGGACGACAGAGGGGATAGCTAAGAGGAGGTCAACGAATCGGCCGCAGGCACCTGCAGCCGGAGGCGCCGATGCACCGACGAAAGCGCTTGGCGGCGGGGCCGAAGCCACCAGCTGCATATTTCGTGCCACCCCGCTCCCAATCCCCAATCCCCTCTCTCTCCCCGTCGCTCGGACGTCCATTCCCTCTGCTTTTTTTTCGCTTTCGTGCGCGTTGATTTCGCAGGATAATCCAGGATGCTCCTTAAGGATCCCCGCCGAGAAAAAGTGCACACGTCCGAGCGATACCTCGTCTGGGCCGCTCCTTCCAGGAGCCTCGGTGCAAGACGCTGCCGCGCCCCTCCAGAGAGCGCTGGCCCGGACATCCAGGAAACGAGGACGGAACACGGCCGGCCCCTCTGCCTGCGCCCACACGCACGATGTGCGATGAACAAACGGAACATCGAAAAATCATCCCGGCCTCCTCCTCCTCCTCGCCCTGCTCTTCTTTTTCCTCCTCCTCCTCCTCCTTCCCCCTCCTTCTCCTCCTTCTCCCCCTCCCCCTCCTCCTCCTTCTCCTCCTCCTCCTCCTCCTCCTCCTCCTCCTCCTCCTCCTCCTCCTCCCCCTCCTCCTCCGCCTCCTCCTCCTCCTCCTCCTCCTCCTCCCCTCCTCCTCCTCCTCTTCCTCCTCCTCCTCCTCCTTCCCTCCTCCTCCTCCTCCTCCTCCTCCCTCCTCCTCCTCCTCCTCCTCCCTCCTCTCCCCTCCTCCGCCTCCTCCGCCTCCTCCTCCTCCTCCTCCTCCTCCTCCTCCTCCCTCCTCCCTCCTCCTCCTCCTCCTCCTCCTCCCCTCCTCCTCCTCCTCCTCCCTCCTCCCTCCTCCTCCTCCTCCTCCTCCTCCTCCTCCTCCTTCTCCTCCTCCTCCTCCTCCTCCTCCTCCTCCTCCTCCTCCTCCTCCTCCTCATCCCCCGGCCAGCCCTCTGGCCGAGATCGAGCATACGCAGACAATTTTTGGGGGCAAATCCAAGCGCGCAAACCAGTGCTGGGGGGACCTGTGGGCCCGCATCGGAAGTCGCTCCGGCGAAGAGTCGCTCCAACCAGCCCAGGCCGACCCCGGCCAACCCGCCATCGCACTCAAGATCGCCACAGGCGACGTCATGCTTTCTCCGACACGCGATAGCCAGAAGCCCCGACCCCTCCCCGGGGGCCCGCCTCTCGTCGCGAGCCGCTGCTTGACATGCTCCTCGATGGCCCTCGCCGACGGACAAAGGCACCACGCCCGAGCGATGCCGCAATGCCAAGCCCCCGGAACCGAAAACGACGCCAGACGCCCGCCCTGCATCTCGTCGACGCGAGCACGTCTGGGCCATCGCAGTCGCCGTGCGCACCGCGCGGCCCAAGGCGACCGGGCGCTGCGGGGCGCCTGCGCGGGGAGGGAGCAGGAGCGGGGCGGGGGCCGGGGCGCGGCCGGGGGGCCGCGGCAGCGGCGGGCAACTGGGGCTGACTGGCGAGGGCATCTGCGAGGGCGCCAGGCGCGACAGGCCGGCCGCACCGGCGTGAGCCTGTTTTTTTTTGACTCTGGCAAGTTTACTTGCATGGACGGGGGGGGGGGCTGAGCCTGAAGCAAGCCCGGGGGGGGGGCGCGGAAATCACGCAAGTCGAAAGGCACTTGCACGCTAGTATTCGCTTGAAGAGGGGCGAGGGGGGGGGGGGGGGGGAGCGAACGCCATGCAAGTAAACTTGCCTGAATCCAAAAAAACAGGCTCCATATGAACTTGTTCAATCCGCCGCCCTATAGGACCAGGTCCGGCAAGTCCTCCTATAGGCGGATCTGGAATAACAGCTAGAAGATAATCAAACATATTAAAACATGGTTACAACGAGTAGACAAGTCGTCCCCGTACTAGTTGTTCGACTGTACTCGAATCTTCCTCCTGAGAGACATGCCCGACGTCACCCTATAGGAGATCCCGGCCGCTTGCCCGGGGGCACTCCGCGCTGCGGTCCCGGACCTGGGACCCGAGAGCGGCCGCCCGAGGGGGGCCGCCCGAGGGGGGCGATGTTGTCCTGCCCCATGTTGGAGGCCTGGAAATGGGCACCAACACCAACACAGGGGGGGTTCCTCCACAAGGGGAAGATGATCCTGGATTTCGGTGTTGGTGGTAATATTTGGGCCACCTTGGAAGCCAGAATATTACCACCATCACCGGGATCGGGATCTTCTTCCCTCGGTGGATGCACACCGACGAAATTGGTGTTGGTGTCAACCTCTAGGCCTGCGACCATGGGCCTGCCTGTCGATGATCCCCAGAGCGCCTGTCAGCGCCAACGTGTGCATTGTCTGCCGAAGCACTCCAGGCGCGACGCAGGCGCGGCGTGCTGTCGTGGGAGCTGCACGGGGGTGAGAACACGCGACGCCACTGCGGCAGAGAATCCTAACTAAGAGCCTGTTTTTTTTGGATTCAGGCAAGCTTACTTGCATGGCGTTCGCCCCCCCCCCCCCCCCCCCCCCCCCTCGCCCCTCTTCAAGCGAATACTAGCGTGCAAGTACCTCTCGACTTGCGCGATTTCCGTGCTGCTAAGACGCCCTCCCCCCTCTCCCCACCCCCCTCGGCGCGTGGCTGAGGGCGGCTCGCGGAGAGCTCTCCGGGCGGGGAGGCCCGGGGCGTCCCCGACGTGGAGACGGCGCGCCGCGCCGAGAGGCGCGCCATGGGCCCCGGCGGGCGGAGCAGCACGCCGGCCAGGAGGTTGCCGGCCGCGGCACGGGCCCTTACCGGCCTCGAACTTTAACGAAGGATTTCAAAAAAACGAAGGATTGCAAAAAAAACGAAGGATTGCAATCCTTCGTTTTTTTTGCAATCCTTCGTTTTTTTGCAATCCTTCGTTTTTGTCCAATCCTTGTTTTTTTTGTTTTGTTTTGCAATCCTTCGTTCCCCTGTCCCTAAGATTGACACGGCAGAAGGCGATGGCCATCTTAGAAGAGATGCGCCCTCAACAAAAGAAGGGGATCCCTAGGATGGGCATCGTGATGGTAAGGAGATGCCCAGCACAGGGATAGGGATAGGTTCCAGGCTGATAAAGTCCTGAGGATGATCGAGCCCGGAGGAGTGGCGGAAAGTATAGCTTTTTGTGGCCCCCGGCCGGCCCCATGCGCGCGCCGCTCCCCAGCAAGGCACGGCTGGCTCGTGCGGGGGCGGCTTCGGCGCTGGCCTCGGGCACCGCGCGGCAAGCGCTCCACCTCGAACGACCGGCGGCTTCCCGATCGCAAGATCGCGCTGTACTCGGCGGTGGACAAACCGACGGAGACCTCGCGCTATCGCAAGATCCCTTTAATTGACCTCTCCGACGGAAACCGACGGAGACCTACGCAAGATCGCGCTATACTCGCGCTATAATCGCAAGATCCCTAGTAGACCTCCCCTTAATGAAAACGGCCTGGGACCGAAACCGACGGACCCGGACCCGCAAAAACGACGGCCGCGACGCCCTCTCGCGAAACGGAAACGGCCAAATCCTGAATCGACGTGTCAGGGTAGGAGGTCTGTCCACCCCCGATGCACTGGCTGACAGTGCCACTGGCGGCGGTCAGCTCTGAACACCCGCGGCGGGGCCGCGGATCCGCGTCGGCACGACACGAAGCTGCTGTGCACATCACCGAGCCCGGTGTGCGCGACCTCTAGCGCCGGCCTTTGCCGCCGAGCCCGGCGACGAACGCCTGGGGGTTCCGCACCTCCTGGCCGTCGCTGGTGAAGAGGCCCCCGTCGTAGTCGTAGATCTTGGCCACGTAGGCCTCGGGGTTCCAGATCGGCGTGCCGTCCGCCTTGTACAGGGGCGCCCCGCCCTTGGGGCCCTTGCCGCCGCCCTTGGCGCCCCTCCTCGCCCCCGAGGCCTGCCCCTCGCCCCCCGCCCTCTTGTAGGCGAGCGCCTCTTCCCGTGCAGGCCGTGCCGCTGTCGGCCCCCGCCTGCCGTCGGCGCCCTCCACGAAGGCATGCGGGTTCCTCACCTCCTGGCCGCTCGCGGTGTAGAGGCCCCCGCGGTAGCTCTCGATGTTGGCGACGAAGTTGCGGGCGTTCAAGATTGGGGTGCCGTCCGCCTTGTAGAGGATGGCCTCCCCGTCGCCCTTGCCGCCCCCCTTTGGGCTGGCCCGCGAGAGCCCAGCCAGGAAGGCCTTCGGGTTCCTCACCTCCTGCCCGTCCGCGGTGAACAAACCGCCGTCGTAGTTGGTGATCCTGCCTATGTACGCTTCTGGGTTCCATATTGGCTCGCCGCTACCATTGTAGAGCACGGCGTCACCCTTGGCGCCGCCTTTGGAAGTCCGTCGCTCTGGCAGCCGCGGTGAGCGCGACCTCAGCGAGCTCGCGTCGCTGCCGTTCCTCAGCAGCAGCGACGCGAAGCGGCTCGGGTTCCGTATCTCCTCCCCGTCCGCAGTGAAGAGGCCGCCCTCGTACCTGTCGATCTTGGCGACGAAGGCGCTAGGGTTCCGCACCTCGGAGCCGTCTGCCGTGAACATCGCCCGCGCTCGCGCCGCCCGCGCTTGCAGGGCTGAGCTGGCGCATGCAACTGCCGCGCTACGGCCCGCGGGCTTGGTCCGGAATGGCTGCGGAGGATGGAGGATGAATACGAGGAGACGCGCGCAAAGGAGTTCCAATATCCTACCTCGCCGAGTGGCGAGAAACGCCTGGACGACAACTTTCGGTATAGCGCCCATGGGGCGAGGAGGCGTTGTGCAAAAGAGACCGGACAGGCGAGGAGGAGAAGGAGGAGGAGTAGGAGGAGGAGGAGGAGGAAGAGGAGGAGGAGGATAATAAGGAGGATATGCTAGCGCTTAGCTGCAGAATTAGAACGGCTTCGGTCGAATCACGAGCAGTGTGTTGCTGTCAACCCTACGGCGCCTCAGCCGTTCTAACACTCAATTTCTGCCAGCCTCCCTCTCTCTCTCTCACTCCCTCCCTCCCCCACCTCCCTCCCTCCCTCCCTCTCTTGTACCGCCTCTTCAGAAATCCCAGAGACTGGTCGATACGCTGGTATTCTGGCTCAGGAAAGGGGGGCTCCAAACATCAAGAGCCTTCAGCAACTAGACTAGCTGCCCTCCTGATTCCTCTGGGACATGGTGGATCGATCATGTCCTCATCGGGCTTGTCCCAAAGAAGAGAATCTGCGATTCCAATGGTTCATCAGATGTTTGCGTCAATGCGGGACTCGTGCCGCCATGTTCCCAAATGTATGGAACGAGAGGTTGCCGAGAACAGCCCTCATGCTTCAATATAGAGAGCATGCACACTCACGCACTCTACTGTGAGGTTCTTGTGCAGCCCTTTCCACAGCGAGTCAGATCACACCACACATTGCAGGCAATGAGCATGTCACGGAGGACTGCCTTGGCGAGCATACTACCTCTAAACTCACACTCGCAATCGCATTCGTTGGTTGCACCCTGGAATACGCGGTAATGATTAATTCATGAGGTGCTCTCCGGTATGTGTCTAGCCCTGGCGACTTCATGCATAGAAAGGCGGGGCCTGGCCTACAATGCCGCGTAGACGCACTAGACATGAACAATCCCTTCCGACATGCCCGGCCCAATTCAGCAACCAACCCGTCACTTGGCTATTGTTTTGGTGCCGCCAGACTACACGGCTAACTGGATTGGCCCGGTGTCCCAAATTGCGAACGCAACGACGTCGAAACTACGTGTGCTTACACTGTGCTGCAAACCTCTTAGAGGTAGGGGCCAAACGTCCGTCACAAACCATGACCCTCTGAGCTGCGCGTCCAGCGCAAGTCAGGAGATCGTCATCCGCATACCTCAACACGTTTCCTGGCAAATCCGCAGACACGGCCCATACAGTCGGACCGCTGAAAGAAGGAACGCTGAATAAGGAACGAAACACTTTTTTGTCCCTAAGAGCGCTTCCGTGCCCGAGGAGGGCGAGAGGGACAGCAATGGAAGAACCTGGGGAACATCGAACCCCTTCCGAACCCAAACAGTTCCTTATTTCAGCGTCTTGACTGTACAAACGATGTTCTGGGATCTGCGGCTGTTTCCTTAACTTTCTCGGCTCGCAAGCTCGTCCTGGCGCTACCACGGCTGCATCTTCAGCCTCCGCGCCCCTCGCCGTGTGCGAGCAACACATGATCAATCTCATCGCGCCCGAATGGAACATCCAATGTTTGGCATCTCCATTGTCTTCCTCCTTTTGCTTCTGACAACTGGTCTGCCATTGCGCACGCTTGTTTCATGGATGACCCGGCTGCCACCTGACAGTCCCCACCCTCGCGAACTCTGCCCTGGTACGAGCCAATCTGCCCTCTATTCCCCAAGCGGTGCTTGCATTTAGGGGTTCCCCCTCCTATTCCAATGCGCTGGGCTTCGCGGCCCGTTTGGCGGCTTTGTAGCCGCCATCGCCGACCCGTCGTCGCCCCGTCGCCGCCTGGTCGTCGCCCGTCGTGTGGGCCTGGCCTGGCGGCTATGTGCCTGCCGTCGCCGCCCCGTCGCCGCCTCCTCGCCGCCCGTCGTCTGTGCCTGTTTGTCGGTCGGGTGGCTGCGTAGGCCGCCCCGTCGCCGCCTCGTCGCGGCCTCGCAAACTTGCACCACATAGATCGCAAACGATGGGTGTCACCGCATGGATTTCCCTTCTCAAAAAATAGACAGGATCTCCCCCCCAGGTTACCGATGTGCATCATCTTTAATATTATGCAACGTTGTTATACACAAAATATGCCCGCATTCCTCTGCGAACCCTTGAAGATCCCATCGGTGTTCGACATGTTGAAAAATCCCACCACACGGGCCTCTCACGCGCGCATATTGCAATCATTCGGGCCTCGTGGCGCGCGTGCTAGGGAGGCACGTGGAAGCACGGTCCGCCTCAACTACTAGCACGCGGGCCGCACGCCCCCGTCGAACACGCGCGCCCGAAATCCTTCCAAACCCTTTGCTACCCGCTCGTGGACACCATCATCGCCATCGGCGTCATCAGCAATTGTACTGTCATCATCGTGTATGCCGTTGTCGACGCCACCATAATACCGAGCCCGCCCGAATCACGGGCTCCCACTGACATGCTTATATACGCGTCAGCGCGGCCTGCGAGACGCGCTAGGGAGTCCCCAACGGTCAGCGCCACCGCGGCCACGCCAGTCGCGCCAGGTTAGCTGGCTGCTCTGCGCGCGAGCCCGCGCGCGCGACCGCGGCCGCAGCGATGCGCCACCCAGCGCCAAGCAATCACCGCAATCGCCGCCGCATGGGTTTTGCAAACCAAGTTGCGGGTGGGCGGGTGGGAGGAGTGCGCGAGCAGTGGGCCCGACAACTTGAAATTCGACACGGCGCATTGCACCACACAGACAACCATCGGCTGCTCATTCGAATCATCAAATGTGACCACGGGCCTCCCGCGCGCGCACGTCGAAATCGTTCGACAGCCCTTGCGCGTGCGTTGGGGGGGGGGGGGGCGGCGCGATTCCTGTCAGGCAAACAGCGTCAAAGACCTTTACCGCCGACGCGCGGGCGCCATTGTCTTCATCGGGGCGATGAACATCGGCGCCGTCATTGGCCGCGACGTCGTCGTCGTCGTCATCGCGATCGCCGACGTCGCGAATCTCATCGCCGCGTCCGCCGTTGACGACGCCGTCGCGATGCCGCGCCTGCCCGCGCCGCCGACTCGCACAGAAACGCCCGCGCGTCAGCGCGGCCTGCGAGACGCGCTGGAATGCCCCGCTGGCCAGCGCCATCCCGGCCGCGTCGGTCGCGCCGGACAAGCCCGCCGCTCTGCGCGCGAGCCCGCGCGCGCTGGCGCGGCCGCGCCGATGCGCCTGCCAGCGCCCCGCAGTCATCGCAAGCGCCGCCGCGCGGGTTTTACAAACCACGCCGCGGGTGGGGAGGCGGGGTAACTGCGCGAGCAGTCGAGCTGGCAGATTCGAGTTCGGCAGGGCGAAGTGCGTTCTTTTGTCCTGAGAAATATGAGGACCTACCCCCCCGCCCGCCAGGATTGACAACTCTCCTGTTCGTATTGCACTGTGCATGCGATTCTGCCCCATCGCCCATCCCAAAGATGAATCCATGTCATCCCAGGCAGGCCGGCATCGGCCCCCCTCGCGCTTCGCAACAGAAGCAATTGCGCGCGCACTCGTTGATCAATCATCATGACGTTCCGTTCTAGTGACACCTTGCCAATGGTACGGGGCGCAGTGAACGCGCGCGCGACGTCGCGCGCACATGCCGCAATCTTTCAAAAACCTTATGCTTGCAACGATTTCCATATCGAGCGCCCCGGAAACATGTGGAACACTTGGTTTCGCAACGCGAAAAATCAAATGCGGCTTGCGCTTGGTCTCTCTCTCTCTCTCTCTCTCTCTCTCTCTCTCTCTCTCTCTCTTTTTTATAAAACAAGAACAAACACATAAACTTTCCAACATAATCATAACTTGCTACCAAGCGGGCCTCGCGCGCGCGCGTCGGAAGCGCTCGAGCACTCTTGCGCGCGCGCTGTCGCGAGACCCCCCTGCAGAAAACAGGGCGACGCGCGCCCTTTCAAAACCTCGGGCCCCGCAAAGATTTCAAAATCGAGTGCCCCAAAAACAATATTAACAATCGTGACAATCATAAGTTTGTAACGTCACCTTTCAAAAATGCTTGCGCTCGCGCCTCTGCGAACTCTTCAACAAGCTGCAGAATCTTGAACATTTTCACTAAATCTGGCCAAACGGGCTCTTCGCGCCACGCGTCGGAATCATTCGAGCGCCGTTGCGCGCGCCGGGGGGCGGAGGCGGGTTGGGGGGGGCGCAGTCCGTGTCAAATCGTGCCATGCGGGCCACTCTCGCGCGTCGGCCGCGCGCGCGTGTCGAACTCCTTCCAAAACATTCATCACCGACGCGAGGGCGCCGTCGTCGTCTCGTTGTCGGCGTGATCGGCATCGGCGCCTTCGCTGGCCCGGCCGTCGTCGTCGTCGTCGTCATCGTCGCCAGCGTCGCCGCCGCCATCGTCGCGCCCACCGTCGTCGACGTTGCCGCGATGCCGCGCCCGCCCAGGTCGCCGACTAGAACTGAAGTGGCCGCTCGGAAATGCACGGCGGTCAGCGCTGCCGCGGCCGCGTCGGCGGCGCCGAAATATCTGGCCGCTCAGCGCGCGCGAGCACGCGCGGGCTAGCGCGGCCGCAGAGATACACCAGCCGACCCCAAGCTCTCACCGCCGCCGACTCGCACAGAAACGCCCGCGCGTCAGCGCGGCCTGCGAGACGCGCTGGAATGCCCCGCTGGCCAGCGCCATCCCGGCCGCGTCGGTCGCGCCGGACAAGCCCGCCGCTCTGCGCGCGAGCCCGCGCGCGCTGGCGCGGCCGCGCCGATGCGCCTGCCAGCGCCCCGCAGTCATCGCAAGCGCCGCCGCGCGGGTTTTACACACCACGCCGCGGGTGGGGAGGCGGGGTAACTGCGCGAGCAGTCGAGCTGGCAGATTCGAGTTCGGCAGGGCGAACTGCGTTCTTTTGTCCTGAGAAATATGAGGACCTACCCCCCGCCCGCCAGGATTGACAACTCTCCTGTTCGTATTGCACTGTGCATGCGATTCTGCCCCATCGCCCATCCCAAAGATGAATCCATGTCATCCCAGGCAGGCCGGCATCGGCCCCCCCCTCGCGCTTCGCAACAGAAGCA